GGCCAAGTGGAGACACTCCCAAGACACAGAGGAGACAGGCCAGTTCTGTGCAGGACACAGCATCTGAAGTTCACTCTGACACTGCTTTTCAGCTGGCTCACTTGGTAGCTGGAAAATTCTTTGAGACTAAAAACATATCATCCTTAGCCTCAAAAGTTCAAAAAAAAAATCAGGAAATTCCAAAGTGAATGTTCCTTTTGCAATAATCACACATGCTGTTTCCTCCATTTGGGGACACACAGCCTGTCTTTCCATTTTGTTCAGGGCATTCCATAAAGTTAACAGGATGTGAAACAGCCTGGAGACACCGGGCTCTCACAGCCAGCCACCTCTCCAACAGCCTGACTTGGCATTTCCTTGCCAATAGAAAGCTGTCTTACTCTTATTTCTCATGCTCACTTCAACAACTAGGTTTCTTTGGTTCATTTTGGAGTTCCGGATGATGAAGCCTTATTTGTAAGGAAGAAAAACACCACAGAGAAATCCAACTAATGACATTGTGAAGGTTAGGGATTCAGAAATCTGAAGAAGAGTCTCAAGAACATGAGGGTGCCTCTAAGAAGTTCATGGAAAATAGAACTAAAAGGTAACTTTTGGTACAAAAGTTTTTTGAAGTCCATGAATAATTTTTCATATGTTTTCACAAACTTTTTAAAAGACCTCTGATATGCAGAGACTTCAAATATTTTGTATATATAAGTTTATATTTTGAATAATTTTAATGTGTTTTTTGAGGGCCTGGTGTAACAGCCCAGTAGCTAAATCCTTGCCTTGCATGTGCTGGGATCCCATATGGGTGCAGTTCATGTCCTGGCAGTACCACTTCCCTTCTAGCTCCCTGCTTGTGGCCTGGGAAAGCAGCTGAGGATGACCCAAAGCCTTGGGACCCTGCATCCGCATGGGAGACCCAGAAGAGGCTCCTATCTCCTGGCTTTGGATTGGCTCAGCTCTGGCCATTGTGGCCACTTGGGGAGTGAACCAGCAGGCAGAAAATCTTTCTGTCTCTGCTCTCTGTAAGTCTGCCTTCCAATAAAAACAAATCTTTTTTATAAATTAATTTTTGAACCTTTATTTTATGAGACAGACAGTGACCTTCCATGTGGTGGTTGACTTCCAAATGCCACAACAACCAGTGCTGAGCTGGGTCAAAGCCAGAAGCCCAACATTCAATTCAGGTCTCCTATGTGAGTTTCAGACACCCAGGCACTTGAGAAATCAACTTCTGCCTGTGGAGTGTGTATTCATAGGAAGTTAGAAATGGGAAGCAAAGCCAGGACTAGAACCAAGACACTGAACGGGGATGTGGGTGTTCCCAGCAGTATCAACTACTGCACAAATGTTTCTCCAGGAAACTCTCATATACCCTCACACACCCACGGGTAAGTGTTCCTTCTCTTGGCAGCTGGGTGTTCAGACATCAAGGCACCCATCATTTGTGATCTTCCTTCCCAGGGCAGATGCACAAGGAAGAGAGGCACAGGAATGGCTCCTCGCTCCACTGCCCAACTTGAATCACAAATCATTGGGTCTCACCTTTGACACCTCCTGCCCCTGGGTGAGAAGGGCCAAGTCTTTCCTGCCCCCGTCTTGTCTCTCCCTTTTGCAGAAGGCCCAGTCCCAACACAGGTGCACGGTCCTGCCTCCTGCGATCCTCTCTCCCTCTTCAGTCTTTATACCTGCTGTGCATTCGGATAGCTGCTACCCTCTGCATGCCATACATCCCTGTCAGACTTGGCTTTCCCGCAGTGCTCCTGGAGGGTTGAATGGCATGTTACACTGCTGAATGTCTCCGACATATTTTGCAAATAGCAGTCATCTGATAAATCTTTTAAATCACTAATAGAATTATAGCAATAGCACTAAAATATCTATGTCAGTGAGATCTTGTTTTCCCTAAAAATCTTCCACTGGACATTGTTAGCTTGTGAAGTCAATCCCCTTAGCAAAAATTAAAAATGTCTTATCGCAGATAATATGACTTCCTGTTGAATCATCTAGATTTTTTTATAGGTGACCCTTTTGGTGGGAGAAAGAAAGAAAGAGAAAGAGAGAGAGAAAGAGAGAGAGAGAGAAAGAAAGAAAGAAAGAAAGAAACAAACAAACAAACAAACAAACAAACCATTTCGGCCAACTTCCTTTAGGCCCTATATACTGTCTAGACCACAGGTCGCCTGGAAGTTCTTAGAGAAAATACCAAATCAATCCTGGCAGGTTGTAGATCCACAGAAACCTGGGTTTGAGTCCTGAGACATAGAAAAAGCTTAGGAAAAAGACTAAAATGTCTCTGAACTTCACTGTCTTCATCTGCAAAATGTGGGGCAACATGGAGGATTGCTATGAAAGTGAATGAGACATTTATGTAAAACCATCTGAAGCATAAAAGTGGCTCAATGCATGGTGACTTGTTACTGTTGCTAAAAAGAAAAAGAAAATGAGAGGAGGAGGAGGAAACTGCAGGAATACTTGCAAAAATTTTTTCCTTCCATTTTTGTTCCTGGGGCAGGAAATGACCCCACTAGGGGCTTCTGAAGGAGACTGGGATCCTGTTTTGCTGAGTGCTGTGAGCAAAAATACTGCTTTCTGTCCGTCTGGGGTGATTTAGAGATGATGTGCCCATAGGCAGGAAAATGAGCTTCTACAGACACCAGAGTCTGGAATTTCTGACTTTCATCCAAGAAGACTGCTGGTGCACATACCTGCTCACACAAGCTCACCTCTTGGATTTCCTCACCATGGTCTCCCATGAGGCCACTCATCCTATCCCTCATATCTGTCCCATAGGAACTGTCTAGTGATGTTGAAAAATGAAAACCATCTGCTTGGTCACAACTCTACCTAAGGACTTTGAGCACAAGAGGGAGGTCCTGGGAAATAGGAGGCTGCTGTGCGCGTGCACAGAGCCCAGTATGGCTCCACCAAATACACTGTGGCCAACAGGTGATCAGAGAGCAGGTCCAACTTACAAATACAGAAGTGGGGGAAGGGCCTGCTATAAGGATGCCTCAGATCCTGGGTACGAGTGAAAAATGCTTATTTTCTAGAATCATGGTGTACCTAAACAAAGCTAAACACAGCAACATGCCCTTTCTTCCTCCATAATCCTGTCAAAGAATGTGAAAGGTCTTTCAAATCTGTGTCTTCATTTCAGTGTGGGCGTGCTAGTCTGTGTCTGATGAAGAATTATGATGGAAATAAGCATGATTTCCCAGTGGCCCTCAGTTTGCGTCCCTTTGTAGAAAGAAGAGGAGCAGGGCCTGGCAGCGTGGCCTAGTGGCTAAAGTCCTTGCCTTGAACATGCCGGGATCCCATATAGGCGCGGGTTCTAATCCCAGCAGCTCCACCTCCCATCCAGCTCCCTGCTTGTAGCCTGGGAAGGCAGTCAAGGACAGCCCAATGCCTTGGGACCTTGCACCTGTGAGGGAGACCTGGAGGAAGTTCCTGGCTCCTGGCTCGAGATCGGCACAGCACCGGCCGTTGCGCTCACTTGGGGAGTGAATCATCAGACAAAATATCTTCCTATCTCTCCTCTCTGTATATCTGACTTTGTAATAAAAATAAATAAATCTTTAAAAAAAAAAAAAGAAGAGCAGCAGTGAACAGCCACAACAAACATAACTTATTCTGTATGTACTTCTTGTGCAACTTGAGCCAGACAGGCAGCCTGTGTACACAGGGAGGGAAAGCCAGGTGGTAGCTGGATGAAGACTCACCAATCTCCAGACTATTCTTGAAGGACAAAAAGTGCCTCTTGCTAGTCTCACAGCACTGGAAGTGGCTTCATCCAAGAGACACTGCCATGGCAGGGTCCCCAGTTTAGCCTCTTGCTTGAATGTACACTGATGATCATGCTTGATCACACACTGCACAGTTCCCACCGATGAACTAAGCCAGGGCGACTTCTAGCCAGAGGAGAATGGAGGAACGAAGGCCAAGAGACTTGTGCCTTCTGCTTGCTGTGTTTCCCTACTGTTTCACGTGTTACACCAATAGCATGCGTTCCTGTAACTGCACTGTTTAAACACACCCAAACACACACATCCTGAGCTTCAGCACGCCCATTGATGGGAGCAGCACTGAGCAGGGCGATCTGGTCTTGCACATGACCTCTGCCTGCCTTGCAGGGAACAATCAGAACCCTTGGTGACTGTTACACTGTGGGTCCGAAGATCAGTAATCTGGAATAGATACATCACTTGGTCAGGTCTGTGACAGACGGAACCCTGTGTAAAGAGTTCAGGGGTGGCACCCACATAAAGGTTTCATTTCACACATAGTGCAAACACATACACTGTGCAGACACATATGCGTGTGTATATATTAGAGTGCACATCTGAGTGCAGTTGGTTAGAGACACATATTGGTCGATTCTATTCCATGGATTCATCTTTGTGCAGACTGAAAATATCCAGAAAAAAATGAAATTGCACCTGCACTGAAAATGTATAGATTTTTTTCTCTTGTCCTTATTCCCTAAACAATTACAGTATAACAACCACTTACGTAGCACTTATACTGCATTCGGTATTGCAAGTACATAGGAGACTGCGTAAAGATTGCGTGCCAATATTGCACTTTTTATACAAGAAGTTTCGACACCTTTGCATTTTGGTATCTGCACGGAGTTCTGGAATCAATCCCCTTTGGATATCAAAAGATAGAGACAGACTGAGATGAGAGGGTGGAGTGGTGGGGAGGGAACTTCAGCACCTAATCTTGTGCAGTCCAGTCGCTGAAGGTGCATTGAGATCATTCTTGGTCTGGTTACATTGTGCAAGCGGACTCTCCAAGCTGGATGTTGATGACCTTTGCACTCTTCAAAATGTACACATACATGGTGCTAAGTTTCATTAAAATAAACAAATAAATAAATAAAGATGGCTTCACACATTGGGGTTTGCTGGACGTGACACGCACCCTTTGGTCATTGCTTGAGAGTAAAGCTGGGATTCTGATGAAGCCCAACCACAAACTGGTTTCTCCTTCCTCTGTGTGAGACTTACCAGCCTACAGTCGCACTGGTCAGGGTCGCATCAAACAGCAACACGGACAGAGCAGCTGTGAGCACCTGCAGAGAGAAGGCCGGGCAGAAGGTCACCAGGGCAGCAGGAAGCACAATCTGAGTCACCTTCCTTCAACATCAGCATCATTTCCCACTTGCTGTCGCTTTCCCTGTGTGCACTTTGTGGTCCCTTGCATTCAGGGCTGCCTCTGAACAAAGCCTTTGGTGTGGAAAACGCTACTGTCTAGCCTGTTTTAGAAGTGGGAATCTTCAAAGAAACATTTAACTTCCAAACTCATCAGAACAGCAGGCACATGGCCAACACCTTTTCATTGCTCTCTAGGGAACAGGCGTATTTAAGAAAACTCATTTCCATCTTGTCTCCGCAGTACAGAATTCATCTCCAAGGTCAGGGTGTTCATTAACCTATTCCTAGTACCTCCAGACAGAAACATACTCACAGCACTGCCCTTAACACCTCTCTACTGCCCTCATCTTTCCAGGCCATAACACAAATTCTAAAACGTTGGATACTTCCCAGGGAAGGGAGAAATTAAATCATGAGTTAGCTGTTTGGATATCTAGAAACCAAACAGAAAAGAGGTTATCCCTATATTTCTCAGAGTTGGATATTCCAGAAGGCTCTTAGGCATGACCGTCACAGGACTCAGACTCCACAGATCTATCTGAACAGCTGGCACTAAGCTTGGGTTGGACCCGTGGTCCAACTTAGTCCACACTCAAAATATCTCCTGGAGATAGGGTGTAGGCATTTGGTAGAGTACTGAAGATGCTGCTGGCAATGCCTGCACCCCACATCCGAGGGCCTAGGTTATAGTCCCTGCTCTGCTCTGGACTCCAGCTTCCTCCTGATGCGCAGCCTGGGAGGCAGAGGTGACGGCTCAAGTCATTGAGTCCCTGCCACACACACAGGAGACCTGGGTAGAGTTCCCAGCTCCTGGATTAACATGGCTAACTCCCAGTTGCTGGGAGAGTAAACCAGCAGGTGGAAGATTTCTGTCTTTGCATCTTTGTTTTGTCTTTCTCTCTGCCTTTCAAAGACACAAACTAAATAAAATTTTAAGAATGAGAAAGAGAAGAGGTTACCTCTTTCTGGAGTTTGCATTCTGCGGATCAAAGCAGCCTTGACAAAGAAAGGCAACCCAAAGATCGTGCTTCCTCGCAGCTTGAGGAAGCAGAGAAGGCCGTGCAGGATGGTCCAGCTAGTGGTCCTCAGACACGTCAACTGACAGCTCACTGAACATCCTGTCATGAAGACCTTTCAGACCTCTTGGCTAGGCACAAAGCAGCAAGCAGATGTCCAGAGGTTGGCATATCTGATGAACCTTGTCCTCCCTCTTGGCCATCTTTCATCTCACATCTCAGAGAAGAGTCTGCAACCAGCAACCCAGAACCTTCAAGCCTTGGGGCCTTCGTAGTTCATCCATCTGGGCTCACTTTCTAATTGCCGGGCTTTACTGAGTTACAGTGAAAGCCTTCATTACAAAACACACACACACATCTAATCAGTCTTCAGCGGCAAGAGTAATGTAGAAACCAGAAGGTGAGGGTCCTTGCTGAGTTTTTTCTTAGAGCCCATTATGAGTGACAGCTGGTTTTCCCCCCATCCTCCCCTGCTCTTGCTTTTCAAACTGAACATTTAATTTAGGACTTCTGCGTTTATGGTCACAAATGAAATGGGCCTAGAATTCAATTACCTCACAGTGCAGTTGTCTGGGTTTGGAAACAAGGGCTACACTAACCCCATGAATCAGTTCATTAACTTCCTGGGCTCATTTTCCTGTGAAGCACAGAGACAATCTTGACTGCAAAAGCGAACTCCTAGACCTGGGGTGGCCTTTTAACTGTCATTGTCCTAATCTAATTTTCTCTTTGTTCTAAGTTTTCTGTTTTCATTGTTTTCAAAAAAAGAAAAAGCATTTCAAGCATTTCATCTAGGCTTTCCAATTCAGTGACACTGAGCTGTTTGGAGAAATGGTTTAGTACCTGTGCCTTTTAAAAGTATCTGTCTTTATATTCTGATTTTTATTGTCATTTTTCTCTTCCTTAGTCTTGACCACAGTTAAGTACTATGTGACTCCTTGGCAACTCAGACATTTCCTGGAATTGTGTCAATGGAGATGTGTTTTGTGGCATGAATGGCGAGGGTTCCATCCTACTGATGGGTGTAAGCTATGCTGGCAACTATAAGCCATGGAACTCTTCTCTTTCTTCTCCATCCTCTTCATTTGCTTTGTTCCTTTTCCTTAGCACTTCAGGCCCACTTGGGCAGTTGCTCTCTTTGTCCTCCAAGGGCCTCTGTCACATGCATTGGGTCTCAGGGTGGGGGAGGGACCCATGCTGGGCTGGTGCCTTTGTTCGTCCTCCAGCATCTTCAGCTTAGGAGGAATCCTGTCTGCTGTTATGTGGACAGTGGCCAGCTTACTCCTATTCTTTGCACCTTTTGCCAAGAAAAGCACATCTCAGCACTTCTAAACCAGTCCTTACTTGCACCAGCCACGCTGGGTGCCCCCACCATCTGCTACTCCCTGGAGACGTGTAGGAGGGCCCCCTGACTTTGCCCTGAGCCACTCTGTTAAGCCTTGTGCAAGCCTGGTCTCTCCACCAGCATGTTTTCTGCTGGCTGAGATGCCCACTGACATGTTACAGCAGGACTGTCTTGTCTCTACTCACAGACAGTAAGCAGCGCAAGGCCCTCATGGTTTCTTGTTTTCTTTTCCTGCCATTGAAGCCATAACGTCAGCTCTCTCTGGAGGCATTTCCAGGTACACAGAGCCACCACCACAGTTCCAGCATGTGCATATGGAAGGCGACAGCAGCCAGTGAGCCCCCTCAGAGCTGGCAATGGGCAGCTGGCCAGCCTGGCTCTCTCACCAACCGGATTATTCCCACACATTGGCCTCACCCTGTATGAGGGGCAAATTCACATCTCTGTAAAGCCAGAGATTTCTGCATAGCACAAGCCTTTGGGGCTGCTTAAGAACCCTTAGGTAGGGCCCGGCATGGTGGCCTAGTGGCTAAAGTACTCGCCTTCCATACATCAGGATCCCATATGGGTGCCAGTTTGCATCCTGGTTGCTCCACTTCGCATCCAACTCCTGGCTTGTGACCTGGGTAAGCAGTCGAGGACGGCCCAAAGCTTCAGGACCCTGCACCCATGTGGGAGACCCGAAGAAGGTCCTGATGTCTGACTTCAGATCAGTTCAGCTCTGGCTGTTGCAGATATTTGGGGAGTGAACCAGCAGAAGAAATATCTTTCTGTCTCTCCTTACTATACATCTGACTTTCTAATAAAAAATGAATTTTTAAAAAATCTGCTCTTGATACCCACAATTTCCCTGAGCATGAAACAAACCAGGACAGGTGAAGCAAGCCAAGGGTGGCACAGAATGCCTCATGCATGGTCCCCCAGGGCAGAACCTGGGAGGGGCTAGAGCTCCTTGAGCCTGCAGATCAGGGATTGGGACCCAACCAAGAGGCTGTACGTGTGTATGACTTGCTCGCAGGACGCAGGGAGAAACAGCATCAAGACCTTGACTGCTAGCTAATGTTCCTCCATAGCGAGAAGCTCCAGAAAGGGTCCACACAAGTGCCATTGACCTTTGAATTCACTAACTTTAATTATTTGAGAAGTAGAGAGACAGAGTCTCCACCTGCTGGATCACTCCACGAGAACCCGGGAACTAGGAGCTCAATCTGAGTCTCCCCCGTGGGTGGCAGGGATGCCACTACTTGAACCTGCATGGCACACTTTAGCAGGAAACTAGAATGGGAAGTAGAGCCGGGACTTGACCCCAGACACTGATATAGGATATGGGCCTCCCAAGTGGTGCCTTAACTGCTGTGCCAAGTTCCTGTCCCTGTATAGTCTTCTGATTTACAAAAGAACTCACCGAGAGCAGCAGGGACACCTGTGAATATTTGCACGCTCGTGTGCACCACAATACTTTTCTTGCTAGCTCTAGCTGGAAGGAGCCCAAGTGTCTCCTGAGGTAGGAACAGATAAATAGAATGTGGTGCTCACTACGAAGAAATAGCTATAAAATAGGAAGAAAAAATCCCTACATGCTACCATACAGATGGACCTTAAGGAGGCCCCATGCAAAGTGACACAGGCCAGTCACAGGACAGACATTGTAGGACTCCATCTCCACGAGGGGCCTACAGCACCTGACTCCCAGAGACAGAGGACCTGGGAGGAGCAGGGGATGGGGAGTTAGTGTTTCATGGGAATTGAGTCTCAGAAAACCAGTGAAGGAATTGAGGGAAACACTGTGCATGCCACTAAATTGTTCCCTTAGAACTGGTTCCAATGGAGCACCAGGCAGACACTCAGTTCCCCCACTTCTGATCCAGCCCCCTCAATACTTGGGTTTCTGCCACCCACATGGGAGATGCAGACAGAATCTCTGGCTCCTAGCTCTGTCTTGGCCAGGCCCTGACTACTGTGGACATTTGGAGAGTAAATCAGCAGAAAGAAGCCCTCTCTCTCCTCATCATTCTGTCTCTCAAATCTTTTAAAAACATGTTTAAAATGGTAAAACTCGCATTACCTGAACACACATTCCTTTCTCTTAGCCTCCATTGTTTTTTTTTTAGATGATGCTTACATAGCCGATCAGGGTGGAAAGGATCTAGGCTTAGGAAGAAGTGGGTGTGATCACTGTTTCTAAGCTTTCTATTTCTTTTTCCCATTTCTGGGGGAGATAGGAGGATAGGCCACACCCAGACTCCCAACCATCCCAGTACCCGAGGATGGGGAAAGGCCACCTAATATCAACCCAAGGTCACAATGGCAGATGTTCTGAAGATTCTGCCCAGGTGGATGCAACAGTTTCAAAATACTGTTGATCTCACAGATCTATGGATGAGGAATCCCTTCCAATATCCGTTAGCTGACACTATCGACCTTACAGTCTCCAATTGCCCAGATATTTGTTGTCATCATTTGGCTGAGGTAGTTGTCCATATGTTCTATTCTCTATTCTCTGCTATGGTATCAGATGTCCTCTGCAGGTCTCAATGAGCTACATGTCCTCCATGTG